AGCGGTCGACGGCACCGCTTTGGGGACGCTCTCGGTCTTCACAGGGGCCGGAGCGGGAGCAGCTTGCTTCTCCTTCCTCTCTTCCACTGCATCAGAGAGAACAAGACCAGAACTATCGCTTTGTCCCCCAGGAATTACCGAGGGTACGGGATTTTTAACAGGATTCTCATAATCAGATCCCATTCCCGCAGGAATTGGATTTCTCAACGCGACCGTCCCTCCGCCACCCCCACATACCGATAATTTTCGACGTGTCGTCCTCCACGTCAGAAAGCTCCATGTCTTCCACGTCCCGATTATCCGTCACGGCCTCCGGAGATCTCGTCTTGTGGCTCCTGCCCACCGGGGACCGGGAGTTATCCTCCTCCCCCATGCCCTGAAAAGGGGACTCGGAGCCTGTCGGAGACGGCGCGTCCATGCTCGGAGAAGGGACGGGAGACTCCTCCGGATCGGGAAGCGTCGCTTTCAGCTGGTCCAGCTTTTTCTTGAGATTGCTCACTCGATTAGCAAATGTTTTATAAGCCTACAAAAGGAAGGACACCGGGCTGAGTATCCTGTATCTGGGGGGGAAAAGTGCCTCAAATCACTTCCCTGACCAAGAATGGGAAGGGAAAACCTTTTCCTACTGACTCAGAACAACTTTAACTTAAAAAAACCTACTTTACAATAAATATGCTGCTGATCTGGTTTGGGGTTTGGGGTTTTTTTTTGGTAGGGTTGGTCATTTTTACGCCGAGGAGGATGGAGGAAAAGAGTACTTACGTTCGCCACCACCTTGACTTCCTTATACTGCGCTTCGTAAAATATCCCGGCGTTCTCCAGGGCTTCGGTGAGGGAGGGGCCGTTTTTCACTTGCTTGTCTAAGCCATTCACAAACTCTTCCAGCTTGGAACTCGCTTCTTCAAACTCCTTGGAGAACTTCTTTCCTCCTGTTTTGTCTGCAGGGAGATGAACATCAGGTACATCAAGAGGAGAAATCAGAAGTGTGTCCTTGACCGAAGTTTACCTCAGAAGAGGCAAAAAACTGATTCAATACCCCGTTAACGTGGCTCAGCGCAACTCGGTTTGTTCCCCCTAACACGCACCACTTGCTCTCGGGCTCGCAGTCGGCATTCTCAAAGCACGGCCGTCGACAGACGCCTTAATTAACTTAAACCCGAAAATACTGAAGGGGTTCCGAATGAAGAACGTTTTATCAGCACGAAACACACCTTCACCACCTCCGCTTTGAGCTCTCTGTCTGCGAACAGCTTCAAAATTAACGCAGGTTTCAGCCTCCTGCTTGGTGGTTCTTAACCAAGCCTTGAAATTTGGGGTATTTTGACCTGATTTCTGGTCTAAGGTTCAACAGAACCCAGGAGCTCCTACAACACCGTCTGCGCCTCGGCCGATTCCGCGGGGTTTCGCCCGCGACACGTTACCTTTCAGGCATTTCAGCGTTTCGGTGCTGCACACGTCCACCCTCATGGTGGAAAGCTGCTTCTCTTTCAGCTCGATCTGGTCTTCCGAGCGCTTGTACAACAGCAACTCGTCGATGAGAGACTGGGGCTGAAAGGGAAATAACCAAACGAGAAAAGCACCCTCATCACATTCCACGGAAGGGAGGCCTCGCCGCGCAGAGCTAACGGCGCGGGTTCGCCTCGGCAGCCGGCAACGCTCTGAGATCTTTTTTATTTTCATTTTGTTTTCTCCGCTCTCCTAGTGCCTGTTACCACACCACGCTCCCTCGGGGTATCGAATCTAAACCAATTTCTAGCCACCAGCGTCTCCAGAGGTGGCGTCCCTGGCGACAGGGAGCCTTGATTAAAATAATCTCTGAGGTGCCTTCCAGCCTGGGCCATTCTAGGATTCTCAAATCCTTCACCCGACCACACGCCGGGATTTCAAGCAGCTCCTGAGGTGGGAAATTGGTTCCCCCAAATAATAATAATAACTAAAAAATGCCGCTCCGAATGCTTTCCGGCAGACTTACTCTGAATTCGGCGACGATCTTGGACTTCAAAGCAGCTTTCGGGTTGGTGGACGCTGTGGGAGCAAAGCAAAACAAGGATGAGGAAACCAAGGAGCTACAGCAAAGTTAAGTCACAAAAGTTCGAGCAAAAAAGCACTTTAAGGTGTTCAGCGAACGCCTCGCGGGGCTGTTGTGACACTTTCCCCTCTCCGCAGGGACGGCTCTCAGCACGCTGCCTTGCTGTCAGCTCAGCGGGATGTGCTCACCTGCGGCCGCATCGTGACCGAGGTCACAAATCAGGCTCTGGGTTTCACTTTGCCCACTTTTAACGTGCTGTAAAAATTCACCGAGTCGACCTTTTCCAGCTCTACCGTCGGGAAAACAAGTCCCCGCCAGGGCTGACCTAACAGCCTCCTCCGCTGAGTTTACGCCTCCCTGCGAGGGAGGCGATAATTCTCTCCCAGGACTCGGAGCTTCCACAGGCAGTCCCGCGTTTCCTTCGGACGGGGCCTCCCCTCCGGTATTTCCTAGGCCTGACCATGCTCTCGACCTTCAAACCTCTCACACCTCCATCCTGACGTCTTATTTAAAGAGCCGGGGGGAACGAATCCCCCTGTCAAGAGCCACTAAATCCATCGGTTTCTGGGCAAAACAGGAGCAACATCTGATAAGAAGCGTAAGGCTAATCCCTCCGTCCATGCTGAATAGAGCACATTTTGGGTTGGGAAAGCAGCTCGTCATGTTAAGCCAAGTTATAAACGCTTCCAAACTTTTATTTATTTATTTTTTTGGTGAAACCTTCTGATCTCACCACTCGGGACGGGGCAGGGGAGCCGCGTCTGACACCTCCGGTTCCGCCAGCTCGCGTTAGGGCCCGGTCAAGGCTTTAGCACGTAACGAGATTAGTGAGATCGGAATATGACAAAGGCATTTCCCGCTAGACCGCGCTCCCGGCGCTGTCAGACGGCCAAGTTCATTATCTGCTCTGCCAGCTTCCAGTTTGGTTTTGTTTTTCCTTTTATCCTAGCACCTAGCTTGCTGTCGAAGCCGTGTTCCCGAGCACGAAGGTAGCGCCCACCTCCTGCTGCCAGGGGGCTGGCTGTCTTCTCGCCACCTCTGACCAGCCTAACGCCAGTTTCCCAGAGGTTCCACCAGCTCTTTCCTCTCCAGAACCTCCGCTCTCACAAAGACTTTATTTATTTTCTCCTTATTTCACGCCTTTACAAAGCCACAACTCCTTGGCACTTTACACATCAGGCCATAAGGAGCTTTACAAGCCTGGAAGACGCACTCTGGCTCGGGTTTTAAGTCCAGGTACTCTGCCCGCTTGAGCTTCCTTCTGTTCCTCAAGCAGGCAATTTCTACATTAGTTCAGACACATTTGTTTCCTTACTTTGCGATTTCTTCCACGGCTTATTCGGTTGTTTGTTCAGAGTTTCTTTCAGCTGCTTCTGAGTTTTGAAAGTGGTACCTGGAAAACATTTTCATTTTTTTTTTGCAGTCTGGCATTAGGGGGTTCCCTTTAAGAATCTGGTGTCGGTGCCATACGGTCGCATGGTAAAAAGAGTGAACAGAAATTTGTTTTAAAAGACCTAGACCAACTTCCTCAGATGAGCTGCTGGATGCCCAAGAGAACCTAAGTTTACTCAGGAATACAGCAACCTGCGGGGATGGTCGTCCTTTTTTAAATCAAGTTTCTGTTTGCCCTTACGCTAAGACAAAAAAAGAAAATAAATCACAGTAACGACCGGAGTAAAAAGGAAAAAAAACCCAACAAGGCGGCTAAAAACTCCACCTGTAACGCTCGGCTCTTTAGGATGGATTTTACGGAATCATGCAGGTCAGGAAAACAGCCACAACACCCGAGTCACAAGGCACGGGAAATATCTTTGTTACAAAACCGGGCGATTTCGGAACACGCGCCCAACCTTTCACCTCTCACCATGCAACACCCAACGGGAGCCTCGTCCCGTGCCACAGCCCGACCCCGCGCTCCTCCCGCCAGGACGACGACCGGCTCTCGAAACCGCACGTGAGCATTTCCTGAAGCACCTCTCGCTCGTTAACGACGTAACCGAGCAAATCCGAGCCGCGGCTTCGCTGCCTTCGAGTATTTGAGTATCGGCTGATCGCTGGGGTTAACTGGCTACGCGCACGGCGGCTGTTTCGGCTTTCGAGCGGAGTCCTTTTCCCTCGAGGACCCTTCACTCTCCAGCTCTGCCTCTCCGACCTCGCTCCCACACCGCAAATATTAGCAGTAAAACCAACTGATTGGCCTCGAAAGGACGCAAACCCGCGTTCGGGACCCTGAGGAGCACTTTACCTCCACGCTCCTCTCAGCTGGAAGGACTCCAGCTCACGTGGAAGGGCTCAGAGCTGCCTTTGCAAGAGCACAACACCCGCGAAGCAGCCGAGTCCGGCGCTGCTCACGCACGACCCCTCGCTGCTTAAAGGCCGGGCGCGAACGCGGAAAGAACGAGCGATAAAGCTCGTTCTGCTCGGCGTGTTCGTTAACGTCGCGCGTCAGGCGGTAAGGCGAGAGGCGCCAAGGGGAAGGAACTTACTCAGGGCTTCTTTTAGGGCCAGAATGGTTTCCTCGGGGTACACGTTTCTGTCCTCCCAGATTTTGAAGATTCTCTCGATGGATTTGGAAACGGACGGGTCCCTGCAAAAGAAGAGCATTGCCTTTACCCGAGGTCGTCAAAGGAAGGAAAAAGCTCGATGCCAGCTGCAGCTTCTTCTTCTTTCTTTCGCTTTGGTAGCTGCTAAACCCCGAGTTTTTTCTCCCTCCTCCTCATCGCTGGCATCTATTAACGGCGTTTGCAACTTGCTGGCAAGTTGCATTTAAATATAAGCTAATGAGCAGCCCAGCGTCAACCTTTTCCCTGCCTCACGCTCCGTGCAACCATCTGCCACTTCAAATTCTTCCAAAAACACACAGAGCAGCTCCATCACCTCCCTAAGAAGGAGCCGTGTTGCCTTTTTACTATATCCTGCCCCTTAAAAGCCACCTGGCTTGAGGAAGACGACACAATTCTTTGATTTTAAGATGTGGAAACCGAAAGGGAGAGCAGCGAGACTCGCTCCTCGCACCGCTTCACGTGAGAATTTTATTCAAACGAGATCCCCCACCCTGTGGATGAAAAGCCAGCTCCTTGTAGAGAAGCTCAAACCCACAGTCCTTGGAGCAAAATCCTCCACATTTTGCTAATGTTGAGAGTCTGAGACGTTAGACAAAAAAAAACCAACCATTTTTCTGAGGCCCTCGACTTTCCAGCACACCCTTACTTACTTCACCAAGGAAGCGGCCTCGGGAAGCACTTCTGCAAAGGTATCCCGAAAGACGATGGCGTTTTTCCTCTTGCAGTTCTGTATGACGTCGTTGGCCAAGTAGAAAAGGTTCAGGCGATGAGGAAAGGCAGCTAAAGACAAAAAGAAAAGTCAGGCTCACCAGGCAGCAGCCGTCAGGTCAGCGGCGTTCCGCAAACAACCCCTGAACACTCCTTTTTGGGGTTTTTTTTTTCAGCATTTCCATCAACGGCGCGTCCAAGGGCAAGTCTGACGGGGACCGGAGAGGAAACCTTCGATTTACCAACCTTTTAAAAACTACACGTGTGGTAACATCGAGCCTCGACTCCGACTCGGGCTGGGGCAGGACACCCAAAGCCGCCGAGCCAGCGCCATTTCCACGATACCCGAGCGGTGCCGGGCCCCGACGCGATGCCGGGCAGGCACCAGCTCTGTGCAGCGCACAAAGGGCCCCGGCTCTCTGTCCCCTTCTCCTCCAGAGATCCGATTTGTCCCCAAAACCACCTCCCCTGTCCCCTCTGCGCCGCCCTTCGCACCCAGACCTCTCCCTGCAGCTCTGCTCCAGGCTCTCATCTCCAGCTCCAAAATTTCATCGCTCAGCTCCAAATCTCAGCGTTTCCTCCAACACCTCCGCGAGCCGGTGAGCCACAGCCGAGCCGGCAGCGCTGTAACCTCATCCACATGCTAATTAGCTTCTTCACGTAATTTAACGAGGATTTAAGCGACAATAGATGGGTTTGTGCTCAGGCTCCCACCTTCCCTGCACCCCAGCGGCGTAAATCAGAGTTTTTCTCTACAAATCCCTTAATTCTCTCTCCTGCTTCGTTTTCCGGTCGTCCCAACCTCAGCGGAGCCTCTTCCCACGTCTCCGGAGCTGCCCCCTCCCCGCCAGCGCTCCCCAAACCAGCCACCGCGCTCGAAGCCGAAATAAAGTCAGATTTTTCACAAAGCTCCTTCGAAAAAAGCCGCTCAGGGAGTATTTTCCTGCGGAAGGGCTCGGGCCCAGACCGATATTAAGGATAAGGGTGGTTTTGTTCCAAATTAAGATATTCCAGCCGCTT